ATGTTTTCATACTTTAACATTGTTAATTATATAATGTCATTAATAATCACTGTCAAAATTATGTAGTATTAGTTATGATTTGGTGGTAGCAACAAAGAGAAACACGAGTACCGTATGGAAGGTGTGTTTTAGTAGGGATAACAGAAAAATAGTGAAACATAACCCACATATGCTATTAACATTAACTGATGCTGTTATATTCAAAATCTGTGTATGCATATACAGGTTCAAAAACTATTGGTTACATGTTGTTAAGAAGACGCCACAGTCAAATATTTTGGAAAACCTCCTTGTAAATGATGTTTGTTGTAGATACCTTAGTGGTGTTGTCGTCGTCGTGAACCAAATTTTTTATTTATTTCTTGTTGGTAACCTTTGAAAGTGCCACATAGATTTGTCCATGAGTAAAAATGTTGCAAGGAATGTAAATACCAACCCAATGTTGCAAGGAATGTAAATACCAACCCAATCTAATAACTGACATTGGGACTTGTTAATCATTATTGTGTATGACACAATTACTGGGAACTGTCTCCGACTTAACTTGAAAGGCCAAGGAGATTGGGAAGGGGACATATTCATTCTTGGAACATATTCATTCTTTGTCCATAATAAGTTTATTATATTAAACAAAATAAGGAATTACCAACATCATATTGCTTTTTGTAGTGTAAATTATGCATAGTTTTTTGCAGCTTAAATGACTAAAATCATATCATTCTTTCATATACAATGTCAAAAGGATCAAACAAAAAGCAAGAATGACAAATCAAATCCTCATAAACCAGAATAAACAAAATGTAAACCAGAAATATTTCATTACATCAATCAAAATTAGGTGTGCAATGTTGTCCGAAACAGCATAAAGAAAAAATAAATCGTCGACGATAATTGACTGCATCATTTCTCCAGCTTGATGTACCTTATTATCTTGGTGGATGATAGTTGGGCACTGTCGAGTTCTTCAACTGTCTCGGGAATAGATCTTTTTGACGGTGTAAGTGCAGAGTTGGCAACTGAAGGGTCATAATCTGCAGTGATTGATAACGGATCCTGCCATTAAAGAGTCATTACAAAATCAGTAGCATAAAAAAGGAAGTAAGACATTGTTTAATAGGCTAATTTGTTAATGTTGAAAGCTAAAAAAAGACGCACTGAAACTGTTTGTGGATCAACATGAGACTGTTTTTCCGAGGTGCTGATGGTCGGAGTACACTGCAAGTTAAAAAACGCAAGAAATAAACGTTAGACAATTGTTCAAAATGTGATGGAAAGAGTAATAGGTCATTCCTATTTAAAACATACCGATGCTGTATGCATATCATCCCGAGTGTCATCTGTTGAGACGACAATCTTTGAAGTGTGCTGCAAGTTTTAAACAATTGTTAAAAAAATCCAATGCACATGATACTGATTTTAACAACAGTAAAACATGAGTACAACAGTACCTCTTCACATTTAAACCTCTCCTTTATTTTGGTACGTAGCACTTCATCTGCCTTAAATCCGATTACAGAAAGACTGGCCTTGTTTGGTTGAAACACTGCTCTTATAGCCAACTCCTTCTTCAGCATCACATCAAGTTCATAAGGGAATTCAAGGGGATCAAAATCTCCAGTCTAAATGATTAAAACAATATATGTTATTTACGTGGTAATTATCTAACTTACATATTAGCCAAATGGAAAATACCTCCATCAAATCCAACTTCATCTGAAGGGCGGGCTTCCCAATCAACTTTACACAATCTACATCCCAAAATACGAACTTGTATTTTAACTTTCCATCGGAGGCAAGCACTTCAAGCTTAAACATGTACCATGCGTGATCAAAATACGAAATTGTCAGTAATGAAGCGTTTGGTTATATGATGATAATCATTGATATGCAATACTTAGAAGTTACCTTGGGACTGGCTCAGAACTGATGTGTTTGGAATAACACATGAATTTTCCATCCTTCAAAGTCACACTTTTGGTACATTCACTACATCCATCATAATACCATCCTGACTGCCCACATTCAAACTTCTCCAGAGTTGCAACAGTCACACATGTAGTTTCCTGAAACAGAAAGATGGGATGATGTCTCAAAAAATGGATTAGAACCCAGTCTGTGTAATTGCTCAATCTAAGACAGTCATGTATTAAAGAGCAACTTACTGTCTGCAGATATGCAATATCAGACAGACTCAACACTTCAGCTTTCCATAAAAATTTGTCCAAATCAGAAAAAACAGAGGTATTTGTGGTTTCCATTTTCATGCTCGAGGATGAGAGCGTCGGCAGATCATCTTTAAGTCTGATGATCATAGATCAGAATGAAAACAGGCTGTTAGAAATCATAGGTTGCTAATTCATAACTTCATAATAAAATCACTTACTTCTCTTTAAGGTTTTTAACCTCCTCAATAGACAAATCATTGATGAGCAGTTTTGTGTCGTTCCAAGCATTTGATACATTTAAAGGATAATTTCCTGAAAATTGAGATATTTATAAATGACAACACTTAAAGTTGGATATAATAATTGGATATAATAAGAAATAGTCACATAGAAAACCTTGAGGTTCCTTGATCCTTGCATTCATAAGTAGGAGAACAATACTACCATCAGCCTTATGAGTCGTATAATACTCATTCAGTTGCACAACTAATTTACCCCAAAGAGTACATTGCACATGATGTTTGCTGATTGACAGGAATTTCAAAACAAACAACATGAACATGTTAGACTTTTATATTTGTCAGCATCAATGTTAACAAACAAAATGAAACACCTACCTCAGATCAGTTAATGAAAACACAATCTTGCTTTTGTTGTTATCAGGAATTATCTGGGCTTGGGATATTTCAGTAACCCCACCAATTATATCTGCACAAAAGTTCACCACAGACAGTTATGGATAACAGAAAAGTAACAATACAATGCGTTCTATTATAACAGTAAAAAGGTAACTCACCATATAACAAATTCGTTATGTATTTACCCTCAATAATAACATTTATTCCAATTAACTTGAGGTGGTTCACAGGTATGTCAGAAAATTGGACCTTTTTGACGGAAGTTGAACCACAGAAAATCAATTTGAACTTATGATCAGTGGATTTGAAGGAGAAATCATTGCTGGAAACTTTGAAATTATGCATTATGTAGGAACAACCAACTTCAAGCTGTGTTTTGAATTTTGATACCAAATAAGATGGCACAATGGCTTGAATCAAATCCAACTGTGAAAATACAAACCTGCATTATGTAGGAACAACCAACTTCAAGTTGTGTTTTGAATTTTGATACCAAATAAGATGGCACAATGGCTTGAATCAAATCCAACTGTGAAAATACAAACATCTTGAAATCAGTATCATATATCAGTACTGTTACAACAAAATCAGAATGCCAAAGCAGAAACGTTTAGATTGTATTATACCTTTGAATCAAACAGAATAAGCTCTAAGTGCTCTCTATTCTGAGAACTGGTAACAGACCACAGATGCTTACATCTAACAGCAACCTTCCACAAATCCTTCGAATCGTCAATGCTACTGATATACTCGATTGGGCGCGCCATCCTCACGCAGCAATTCGTAACAGCGCAGAGACAGCAAGGTGTTAAGCAATGGAAAACGACTGGAACGTCTGTAGCAATGAAGAAAGAGTGAAAAACTTTTGAGGTTCCATTTGAATTTGAAATCTGATTAAGAGAGGCATAATGGTTTGGCATGGGGAAGAGGAAGAGAGACATATTGAATGGCAAGGAATAATGGTTTGGCATGGGGAAGAGGAAGAGAGGCATAATGGTTTGACATGGATTTATTTGAAAAACAAAAATTGAAAATGTGGTGAAAAATTGTGGGAGTGCCACATCAGATTCAAATGAATGTGGTGCAAGATAATTTTGAGTTTCCTATTTTACCCCAATACAATAGACCAAGAAAGCATTTTATCAGCATTGGTGTTGTGGTAATTTCCAGGGACATAGATTTTTATAGATAGATAATAGATAAGATTAATTTGGTTGGATTCGAATAATTATTTTAAATCTTTTAAAAATTGAATTCAATTGAATTTAACAAATATTTATTTTATATATTTTTTATTATTCCAGAGTCGAAATATTTAAAAATAGAATTTATAATATTATTAAATTATTATAATTTTTATAATTTAATGGTAGCATTGTATATTCATAAAAATACAATATATACAATATATACAATATAAAAATTTAAATATTATTTAATTTGTTGTTTAAAATATAATAATGAGTAAATTAATATCAAATGATATTTGAAATTTTATAATGTATTAATAACGTTTTTTCAATAATAAAAAAAATAATTTTTTAAGTTATTCTAAAATTTTGATAGTTTTTATAAGTAAAAAATTAAAAGATGAATATTTATGAATTTTATAAATGATGAGTAATTTTAATAAGGGAAAATACTTTTTTTGTCCCTTAATTTTGTCTCGGAGTCCAATTTAATCTTTTATCTTTTAAAAAGTGAAAAACAATCCTTTAAGTCTTAAAAACGGAGCACGTTAGTCCTTCCGCCTGAGCCTGCTAGTCAAAGTAAAAAAAGAACGTCCAAGTGACATTGTAATGTGCTGATGTGGAATGCCACATATTAAGAATGTCCAAGTGACATTGTAATGTGCTGATGTGGAATGCCACATGTTAAGACCAACTTTAGTGACGGAAAAAATCCTCGCTTTATTTGTAAATCTGGGTTCAAGATTCATCTTCAATAGAATGTGATAACTCAATGCAACAAAAATCACAAATTGAAACAGATTTAGTTTATAAGCAACCACTCATCACAATAATACAATGCAAAACGCAAATAAAAGATTACCCAAGATTAATATCAACATAATCACAATGGCCATGAACAAGAAGAAATTCGTAAAGAACAAGAACAATGAGGCAAAAGAAAAATAACAAATTTGTGGAATTCCAACCAGCAGACAGCATCCTCCGTCTATCAACGTGCAACTCAACTACAACGATCCACAACTCCACGAACACCAACTTCTCCCATAAGAAAATTGTAAATTCAACGCGTTGATACCAGCACAACCAAATCGTACCAGAACAGAGTCAAAGAATCGAGATCGAAAAGTAAAATAAGAAAGAATAGTTGGTTTGGAACTTATGTCGAGCACCTTGTGAGCAAGATGTAGATCCTTCTTCTTGAAAGTATTATGAATCAACAACAACCACAACAAATAACTCACCATCATCATCAAAATAAGAACAAAAATCGAATCAAGCAGAAGCAGCACGCGTGACGGAAGCACATCGCAACCATTGTGTGACTCCGCACTAATCGGAATCGGATACACCGCTCAACCATAGCATCACGCATCTGCGACGTCACCATTACCATAAATTGCATCCGTCATAGACGCCCTTCGTCGAACACAACAAAGCCCCCAGCCGCGAGTAGATCCGCCGGTCACCATCAGAGGGAATCACCCGACCGCGTCAACCTCGAAATCCCTTGTCGCCGCACTACTTTTACAGTTTGTATTCTCTTTTTAATGTCATGATTGTTGTTCCTCTTTCTTAGATGATTGTGTCTGGTTTGACTGTGATATTTCATGATTCATTGAGACAAATATATGATATGGAGAGAATTGGAGTTATTCTTATTTTTTTGAAATGATTTGAGAAGAAAAAGAATACAAGAAAAAGAAAGAAGGGAGATTTTGAGGAATTGAAGAATTTGAGGGGGAAAAAATGGATTTTTAGTTCAAGAATTTGACACATAATCAATAATGGGAGATTTTGTTCTTGAAAAAGAGGTAAGAATGATGAAGAATATATTAAAATCCAGAAATTCTCATTTAGTGTCCAATTTTCGATCACTATATTGGTCACAAAAATTAAATTTTACATGTCACCTGCCACATCAGCAAAAGTTAATGTCGTTATTGACATTTGGACGGAAAGGACCTACGCGCTCCGTTTTTAAGACTTAAGAGCATAATTATCGGCCGACAAAGTACCGTTGTTACACAGTTTTTAATAAATTTGTTTTTAGTATTTGGATAATTGAGAAAAAGTAGCGTTCTTACATTCATGCATGTTCTCTTATTTAACCACGCTCTCTAATTGATTTTTTTTGCCAAGTGTAAAAAAGTAATGGTTATATCATTAATGGAAATTGTTACAAGCCATAAATATTAATTTTAATTTCAATTTTTTTTTTTAAGTTGAAAGAATGCAACGGTAAGAATTTTCTAACGGTCATAATTTTTAACATAATAAATAGTTCCTCATTTTATTATAATTTTGATTTACCACTAGTTTAATTTTCAACTATTTATTTTATATCATTTTTATTTTTTTCTTCTTGCACATTCATTTGTCAATGGATCCCAATCAACATAACTCTTGGTCTAATTTTATGCAAAATGGTGGTATAGAGAGGAATCGTGAAGATGGACATGATCGATTGTTCAATGATTATTTTTCACAAACTCCGGTATACACGAATGAGCAGTTTCGTCGAAGGTACCGAATGCATAAACATGTGTTCCTTCGTATTGTTGAAGCTCTGGGTCAGCATGATGAGTATTTTCGAATGATGGTTGACGCAACTGGTAGGTCAAGTCTTTCACCATTACAGAAATGCACTGCTGTTATCCGTATGTTGGCATATGGTACATCTGCTGATAGTGTGGATGATTATTTGAGAATTGGTGAAACCACAACACTAAAATGTGCTGATAAGTTTACAAAAGGAGTGATCAACATCTTTGGGCCACAATATTTGCGAAGGCCAAACGCTGAAGACATTGAACGCCTAATGCGAATGGGAGAGGCGCGAGGATTTCCAGGTATGTTAGGGAGCATCGATTGTATGCACTGGGAATGGAAAAATTATCCGGTTGCATTGAAGGGGCAGTATGTTCGAGGCGATCATGGGAAACCAACTGTTATACTTGAAGTAGTGGCTTCACAAGACTTGTGGGTTTGACATGCATTCTTTGAGGTAGCGGGTTCAAACAACGATATTAATGTGTTAAACCAATCTAATGTCTTCAACGATGTTCTACAAGGACGAGCTCCCGAGGTTCACTATACAATCAATCGTACTGAATACAACAAGGGTTATTATTTGTCAGATGGTATTTATCCTGAATGGGCCACGTTTGTGAAAAGTATCCCGATGCCACAAGGGGATAAGAGAAAATTGTTTGCCCAACATCAAGAAGCCGCGAGAAAGGATATTGAACGAGCATTTGGAGTTCTTCAATCTCGATTTGCGATCATACGTAACCCAGCACGATCGTGGCACTTAGACACACTCCAGCGCATAATGAATACATGCATAATATTACACAACATGATTGTTGAAGATGAACGTTCCACATATGGTGGAAATTTTGATTTTTCTTATGATCATTTGAGCAATGACGCGACAACATTGCCGAATGATTCTAATATTGATTTTCAAGAGTTCCTACGTAGAAGATTTGATGTTCGTGATAAACAAATTCATCGACACCTTCAACATGACTTGATAGAACATATATGGCAACGTTATGGACCAGAGAATAGTAACAATTGAAACATGTTTTAAATATATCGTTTTCTTGTATTTTATTATAGTAATTTATTCTAACGTTTATGTTTTTTAATGTATTTTTTAAGTAATTTATTTTAACGTTTATGTTTTTTAATATATTTTTTAAGTAATATATTTAATTATTTATTTATTTAAATTTTATTTCATTTTAAATGTACAATTCTTTTTAATGTATTTTGATATATTTGAATTAAATTGTTTCAATTATATATTTTTTATAATAATAATAATGTGAAATATATTGTAAGATTTGGTGGGATCCATTTTAAAGTTTCTGATGGGTTGTATGGATATTTAAAAAATGTAATTGAGTTGTTTAGAAAATGTGAAAGTGTGATATAATATAAAAAATTAAGTGGGTCTCATTTAAAGAACCCATGAAGAGATGATGGATGTGGATGCTCTAAGAGATTGTTTTGTATTTTTTAAAAGATAAGGACCAAATTGGACCCCGAGGTAAAGTTAAGGGACGAAAAATGGTATTTTTCCTTTTAATAATGTTAATCGAGCAAACCCGTCTGATTTATCCAATAAACTGACTAAATCGAATTCGTCAAAAATCAAAATTTTATCGATCAGAATCGGACCTTAATAATGAAACTGCGATTTACGTCAGATTTAAGTTTTTGGTTCGATTTCGACTCAAACCGGCCGATTGTCCACCCCTAAGTAGTACTTGTGATTTTAGATTAAGAAAACAAATATTGATAATTAATATTTATAAATTACCAATTTCACATTAAGTAAAAATATTGTATAACTAATATTTATAATGTATTTTTAGGGGTGGCAAAACGGGTCCGGCCCGTTGGGATGCCCGTTTTGCGGGCACTTTAGTGCGGAGCGGGCCAAGGTTTTAGGTCCTTACCCTCTAAAATGTTTGTCTTGCTATATCCTATTTTTCACGTGGGCTTTTGCGGGCATGTGCATTTACATAAAATTTTACATTTTTAGACTTAAAAGGTGCAATACTCGCAGAATTTTTCCACCCTACCTTCACTTTTTTACAAGGCAGGGTTAGACTTTAGGCCTGCATCCTCATTTATGCCCGTCCCGCCTCATTTTTGGCAGGCTTTTGTGGCACATACCTAAATGGGGCGGGCATGCCCGTTTGCCACCCTTAGTGCATGTTTGGTTTGATTTTTGGAAGGACCAAAAACAATTCTAGAAGTGTAGAATTGATTATGGGTGATTATGAGATATTTGGTTAGGCAAAAGCAGAATTGATTCTATCTCCAGAATTGATTCTACTTGAAGCTAGTAGCTTCTGCCTCCCAAATTGATTATGAATGATTTTTACACTGAAATTTATTGTTCAACTCACTTTTACATAAATGTATTCAAACATAAATCAATTATACTAAACTCAATTATGATAAAATCAATTCTATCAAACTCAATTATATTAGAATCAATTTTGTCCACCGTCAATCCAAACACACTCTTAATATTTTTGTTACTATCATTTACTATTGGATATTTGTAATTACATTGCTAAAATAATTATATTTAAACCAAGAAAATAATGGCAAAATACCCTTTTTGGTCCTTTAAGTTTACCCCAAGGTCCATTTTGGTCCTTTATCTAAAAAAAGTGTCAAACTGGTCCTATAATTCTTTCAAAAGGACCATAGGAGTCCTTTCCGTCCAAAAGGCACAAATGGACGTTTGGTTTGCATGTGTGGCAGGTGACATGGAATGTTATGTACACCATCTTCAAGCTGCTTCCAGAAATCCTCAAATTCTAGGGTTCACACATTGCATCTCAATTTTCCCATTTTGAATTTGAAATTCCCTCAATATGATGAAGGAAGCATCATCAGAGGTCCGGTCTTCATACGATTGCAATAGATATGGAAGCTTAGATGGAAAGTTGCGATGGAGACCTGTATGTGGTTGTGGAGAATCTGCGGTTCTTCGAAGGGCTACCACTGTCACAAACTTTGGGAAGCAATTCTGGGGTTGTCGTCATTACAAGGTAAGCATGAAATTAAAATGGGTTTTCATATATTCTTGTTCTGATAGTTCCTGCAATAGCTGAGATGAATCTGGATGTCACCATTACAGGGTTCATCTGAATCTGGGTGTGGATACTTTCAATGGTTCTTTGATGATGTGGTGGATGAGAAGGATCAATTTATAAAGAAGCAGAATAATAGGTTGGAGAAGCTGCAAAATGGGCTTGAGGGAGAAAAAATGGAGATACATCATCTAAAGGAAATGAAGGATGGGCTGAAACATAAGATAATGGAGTTACAAATTGAAATGAAGAAGATGATGAATTCTCAGAAAAAATGGAAAAGATTCTTCTTTATTATGTTAGTTGTGGTAATTTGGATGATGTTGTAATAGACTGTTGAATTGAGATTTTATGTAATAGAGTATCATATGTAACACAATCTCAATTTGAACATGGTATCATTATGAATTTGAATTTTTGTATCAACTTAAATTTTTGAACTAGTAGCATTTTGATCAATGTAACATACTGTAAAACATACTGTAGCAATTTTTGTATCAATGTAGCATTTTGATCAATGTAACATACTGTAAAACTAGTAGCATTTTTGTATCAATGTAAAACATAATGTAACATACTGTAACTAGTAGCATTTTGATCAATGTAACATACTGTAGCAATTGAAGATAGGTAACAACATATAATTATAAGGTGGTGGATACCACTAAGTTGCATACAAAAGAACCTGATATTACAGGTCCAATCAAAACAGCCTGATATTACAGGTCAAAACAAAACAAAACAGCTTGATATTACATGATCAAAACAACTTAACATAACCAATTCTAATATTACAAGTTAACAAAACAACATAACAACTATAGGTCCAATCCTAATCCAAAACACACATAAAAGTAAACTAAAGTTTCCACTTTGGTGCTGCTCTTTTAGTTGGTGTTGTCCTTCTTGTTGTTGGACCTACAACAGTTATTGATGCCTTTAACCTCGTTGTTGGACCTGGTGGGACAAATGGTGCATTTGGCCTTCT